TTTTGACTGGCCTCAAAAGAAATCATGGAGCAGGTATTTGCAACAGCCTAGAGAGGGATGAGAAAGAAAATACAGGCTTATCTCATGAGTTGGAACCTCTTTAAAAAGAGAGAGAGAAGAAACTAGTTTCCTTTGCTCATCCCTCATTTTTGTTTTACCAACTCCAGGAGCAGACGTGTCTGTAAGTATATTTGTTCAAGCAGTATTTGGTGCCACACTGTAGCTCTTCTTAACTCTTCCTAGCTCTATGTTGACAGAAATCTCCCCTTCTGGCTCCCGTGAATCCTTGCACGGTTTCGCAGTGTGGTCCTTTGTCTAAGCTGTGGCAGTCCGGCATGCCCCAGAGTCTTGCTGTGGTTTGGGTACCATTTCCTTTAGGCAGTGAAGGGACACAACTAGTTGTTCTGGGTAGTAAAAAGCAGATATTGTAACAAAGCAAACAGACCATTGCCAAAATATACCTATGATTTTTTATATGAAGATCATCACCTTTGCCACTTCTAAAATGTTTGCAGTGATACTGCCACTGAGCCACCATTCTCGACCTCTCAGAAGAGCAGGGGTTTCTGTGAGTGAGAGCTCGCAGAGCTGGCACAGAGCTCCCCCAGATGTCTGTGCTAAATGGCAGACGCTCCCGGAGGCAGCAGCGGTGACCAGCGCTTAGAGGAGCCGTTCTGTGTGAGACCTTGTGCTGCGTGAGCAGCTTCTCTCTGGGATTCACAATGCAGTCCCAGCTGGTGAGCCAGCAGCCTTCGTTGCCTGCTTCCCACGGGGCAGCCTGGACTTGCTCGTAAATTCAGTGGCAAGTGTTTGGTTTCCTTTATTTATTCCTAGTGGAAAACAGAACTACCTTGACTGGGGAAGTTGCTAGGATTACTCAAGATATGATCAGAGAGAGGGTGAGGTGAGGACGCTGATGTAGTCACCCAGCCTTTSTCTCCCTTGTTTCACCTTGGCAACTGTTTATTTTGGTGTGCTGATAATAAGCAGCTTCCCCAGCCTTGTGCTTCAGTCCTCTGCTGCTGTTCAGCTTGTTCTTATGTGGCAACAGCCATTGGGTCTGTGCCTTGGGTTGGTCATCTTGGGTGAGCTCTGTGGTGGTTCCTTTGCCTGAGGAACAGAGCTCCTGCTCATGGAGGTGGCCCTGGCTTACTGGGGAGCTTGCTGTCATGCCATCTTTTGTCACAGAGCACTCCCTGCTTGGGTTAGATTTGTGGAATAGGTATAAAAACAGTAAAGGGAGAAGACATTAATAATGGCATTTGAGTGCAAAGTTTGGGATTTCTTTATGTTTTTACACATACATAACTGGTGCCATTGATGGAGGTCACCATGAAGGGTGTGTTGTAAATGCAAGAGTGTTGGAGTGAGCCCTGTCTGTGTTTAACACTTGAGTGTGTCATTCCTCCTCCTGTGTTTGGTACCTTGGCAAGATTTACAGTACTGAATAGTAGTAACATATAATGGAATKAAGACAAAAGCTGCAAAATCAAACTCAGGATATTGTTTTATTTTAACACAAGATACGTTGGTGAGACAAATCAAAAGTAAAATGTGAAATTAGCATCCAGCAAAAACCCACAAATCCTACTGCTACGTTTTAAAATTTGACTGAGGAAGGAAAGTGAATAACTTAGCTGAGTGGCTTAATCTGCTTTTTGCCAGTGGAACTTGCAGCCTTCCTCTTATGTACAGTAACAGGTGATTGTTCATGAGGAAGAGTGGCCAGCACAAGTCTCTGTCATTCAAGATGCGGAGCGTTTTGGTACAAGTGCACCAAGGCAGTAAGAACATGCTTAATCCTGTACATGCATCCTTGAAAGTTGAGACTTACGTCAAGCATATGCTTAAATGCTTTGCTAGGCAGCTCCACTTAGTGTTTCTTTGTTGGAGGGAAGAGCAAAGGAAGGATGGGTGGCTGGAAATGGACAGAGCATAAGTTCAGAAGCGCAAAAACCTCAGTTATTACTCCCGTTTTTCCCTTTTCCTTCACTTAAAAAGCTAGTTTACATGGCTACCTTAATTTCTTTATTTAGAAAGAAGCTATGTRAAAATGATAGACTGGCTTTTTACCTGGATTTCTTTACTATTTTAATTGTGCATTCAGTACTGCAAAATCCAGTTACACAGTGAAGGAAGCTTGGGGGAATATTCTGGGGAAGTATCACTACAAGTTGGCTCCTTTTYTATAAGCTGTCTGAGGTGTTTTCAGTTGTCTGCTGCAGGAGGCAAAATAACAGTCGTAAACTTGATACTGTGAGTCTGAGCAATTAAAGATTTTGGTGTTTAGAATTTTGCTATACTTGCGTAATATTCACCTCTCTGATCCAAGGAGGAATTTTCAAAGTCTGCAAATTAAGATTTCTTTCTGTATTTTGGGTAAAACAAGTATAACTTTGAAAGTGTTYGAGAAACAATTAAAGAGACTAAGTGATGCTATTTTTCTGTTGTTTCATTTTCCAAAATAAGGCTGAAATTTAACCTCTGTGTYGAAGTTTCTTGTCTGTAAAGTAGAATAATTTTGTATGGATGAGAAGTGAAATCATTGCTATTAAATTACATTAATTACATTAATTTTAATGTTAAAATATGATGGCTTGAGTAATCTTCAGAATTATTTGGAAGGTTTATCTTAGTTTAATGCACRTTTCTCTGTTTGTGCAGTGTAACTTATGCACATGTTCTAACATGTATATTTTTATTTCCCTTAGTGTTTTTGTATTGCTTTCCTGCAATTTCTCTTCTTGGTCTTTTCCCTCAAATCAACACCTTTTGTATATATCTCTTGGAGCAAATAGACATGTTGCTTTTTGGTGGCTCTGGTAAGTAGCGTCTTGTAGCCTGAGCTGTCCCTTTCAGAGCTTGTCACCTTAGATTGCAGTACAGGGTTGCATATTTCCAAGCACGATGCCTGTTAAAGTTGAAACAGTTAATAATAATCTTGCAAGGGTGGGATGGGTACTGACAGGACCACCTTGACTGGATTTCTTTTTCTGGCATTATTTCAGTCAGAGATTAAACAAGACAGCGTGCTCTGCTTTTTTTTTTTTTTTTTTTTTTTGTGGTGGTGTTTTTTTTTTTTCATTTTAACCTAAAAGAGCAGATGGGTTGCATCTTCATTGTCACCTCAGTTTGGATCTAGAAGCCCTCTCAATGCATTCCTCTGCAGCTGTAGATGTAGCCTTTGACGGATGGTTAAAAGTAGCACAGATAGCAAGGGTGGTTTTTGTCTGTTAAGTAACATACAGACTTGGAGGAAATAAAAGTTCTGATCCCATCCACAAGTGATGGTTGCAGTGCGTATTGACCCCTAATCAGAGCACTGTTTTGTAGCCCATGTATTTCCATGGTCGAGATTGCTGAACAACTAATTCTGTCTGACAGCACCTCCTACCCTGATTGTGGAAGCCCTGAAAGTTAAGGCAAGAGGCCAGATGGCATCCTTATCTCTTCCTTTAAGCTCACTCATGTATCCTGAATAAGGGGCAAATCGTGGCTGACAGTTAAGATGTGGTTGGATGTGAGTGGGGCCTATGTCCCAGGAGCAGAGGGAAGGAAGAAAATTCCATGTGGCATTTGACTAGAAAATTATCGTAGGTCTGTTTTGAAGATCGCTTCATTCCATCTGTGGCACTGTGTACAGAATATAAGGCAGTAGTGTGGGACCTCATTATCCATGGAGAAAACATTGATTAGAATGGCCTCAGACTTGCACTACTATCAGCAGATAGTTTTGTGAGGTTTTATGGGGATGCTGAAGGTGTTCTTGAACATTGCTTTGTAGTATCTGCTTTTAATCTATACTTGTAATAAAGCATTTGTGGCTTTGTTCTCTTCTTTGTTTTGATTGCAGCTTCTCATTTAGGAAGAATCTAACGAGCTTGTAATGTCTGTGTTTCAGCTGCTGCTGGGCTCATGTCTGCACTGTACAGCATTTCTCGAAGTTTTGTGGTTTTGGTTGTCCTGTATGCCTTCTGCTTCAGTGCAGTGAAGGTAAGTTGGAAAAACTTCAGTAGTATTATGGACTCTTTATACTGCTTGTAGAGAGCTCAAAATTCATCTAATCTAGGGAGAGTAGAATTGTCTTGTACTGTTGTGAAAACTGTTCTGCATTTGCTTAATCTGCTGCCTTCACAGCCCTCAGCCTACAAAACTTGAGGCCTTTTTGAGGCCTTTGTAGGCCTCAGTCTTCAACAGTAGGCCTTCAACAGTCTCCTCTCCAAACTGAGGAGTCCCAGCCTTTTTAGTGTCTCCTTGTAAAGCAGCTGCCCCATGCTCCTAGGAATAGCCAAGTTAGCTACCCCACTTTATGCCTTCTCTTACTCCATTGCAACCTTTGGAACATGTGGAGACTGCAACTGTGTGCAGTGCCCAAGTTGTTGGTTTACTCTGCCTCTATATGCAGTAATGCTCGCACTACCCTTCCTGGTGATGCCCAGTGTTTTGCTGGGGTTTTTTTGGCAGATGCTGCACACGGAGCTATTTTCAATATAAAACTTTATTTTTCCAGTTAATAATGTATAGTGCTCCTCGATTTTTTGTTTTATGAAAAAATTCTTTATGAAATTATGGCTGATTTCAAGCCTGCCATGGAATTTCCAGTGACCACACTGAAACCCTTCACAAGGGGACCTTTGGCAGTGCTACGCTGTAGTTCAGATGATGTCAGTGCTCGTGCAGAGGTGTATCAGGGCATTCAAACAGCTTTCAGCATCCTGCAGTGCAGGAGGCGGTGCCTTCTCGTGCTGCACATGTGTAGCACACAYACAGAGCCCAGTAGGAGGTTCTGCTGTGACCATGTGTGCGTCATGTCAACACCCAGCACAGTGATTTACACAGGTAAGAGGTGCTATCAAATGATTCTGTAAGGGTTTTTTTTTTCAGAATATAAATATTTTTTTAATGGCTTTTAACAGTTTTCCACTTAAAATTTTGAATAGGAGCCTTAAATCAAAAATACTTAAGCTTTAATGCCGAAGTGGTGTATCACAGATGGTAAGAGCTCACGTAGCTGTCTGTGCTTGGGTTTTAATCATTCCCAGTTCAAAGGTAAAATACATTAAGCCACCATTTGATCTTCTGTTGACGTGGCTTGAGTCCATACCCAATGAACTACTCAGCAACGTAGCTACTGAGCAGTGCTGTGTTAAGACCCTCTCACCTAAGTATCTGCGAGCATGAGGTCCACAACTGGGAAAGCTCCTGCCCCAAAGCTCAGCCGCTGTGTGGGTTATACTGGTTTGACCTGAACCAACTGCATGATGCTGGAAAGAGTCCGGTTTCCTAAAGCAGCTCATATKCTTGCTATCATTTTCCAACTATTTTAATGAACTGGAAATTGGTAGATGGGGAGTGAAGAAAGTGCCTCTTTGTGAGGATATAGAGGGAGTGACAAAAATCTCTAATGAGGGCGGAGAAGCAGTAAGAAAAAGGGAGAGCTACATGGGAGGATGCAATTGAGTTGAGCTGCTATTTGAGAGGGAAGTGTCTGCGAAATGATCACTTCTCCCCTTCAAGTTTGAGAAGGGAGGATTCTCTAGGTGTGGGCAGGGAAGCTGAGTGATTGATACTTTAAAAATAGTTTTTAAAATAGTGTTAAGGAAAGACCTCTTAAAATATTCTGCAGACTATTTTCTCAACGTAACAGTTTAAAATTACAACATRCAGGTGGCTTTGTAGATAAGCAATCTCCTTGTGGATTAGACTGCAGGCTGCCTAGAAGTATATTTTTAATGCTACCCTGAAGTTAGAGAGTGCTGTGAAAGATTTACAAGATATCTGCTGTAAATTACCAATATTAAGTGCAGACTTTCTGTTCACACAGAAATTACAGCTAATTTGCATTTTTATGGCACTGTTCTTGTGAAGACACTTCTAAGGAGCTTAATTTAAATAATGTAAATATGACTCCATTTACTTCAGTTCATCACTTTAGTTTACTGGAGTGTTAGAGATTTCATAGATTTTTCTTCTACAAGTTATGGAAAGAGCACTTGCACTAACCCTCCTTATTCTTCATGCAGATCCAAATCTTTTTTTTTCAGTGGAGGAGTGGGAAGGAGGCTGTTATTTAGAGCATTTCAAGGGAATGATTCTGTYCAACTTATTTGTTGGTTTGTGCAGGAAGCCAAAGGTTTGCTTTAAATGTCTCAGAAGAATCTGACTCTGAATAGGCTTTGTGATTAAAGGTAGTCTCATATACCAGCTCAGTCAGAAAGAAGAGCAGTTTTGATGTGTGGTGGACYGCAATTCTCAATCCTGTTTAAATCTACGTTTGGATTTTTGCAGAGCCTAACTTGAGCAGGGCAAATGTGATAGGGCCTGTTGTATTAAGTTATCGTTTGCACAAAGGTGATACTAATTATGTGGTTGTCTTTAAGATGCAGAAGACATCCCATCCACCTTTAAGCTTTGCAGGTATTGGTTTTTTGTTTGTTTTGTGAAATAGCATCTAAGGAAGACACTGAAAGACCATTGCTGTGTCCAAAAAAGACAAAAAGCAAAATCTAGCCCTTGACTATCATGCTGCATGTGTGCTGCAAGCACAAGGGCAACACAGTTAGGAGGAAGAAATAACAAGAAACAAGAGGGATTTTCAGGAAGGTCACCAGTTGTCTAACRAAAGTTTTTTTTCAAAAAGATCTTGATTTTTACCCATTCCACTGTTAACCAGTTTGGCAAAAGCAGCGGACTAAAGCAAAATTATCAGTAGCTTATGGAGGTCAAAATGGCAGAGAAACAACATAGCCTATCCCTGGGGCAGCTGCAAAGCTTATTACGTGGCTGAAATGTCATTTCCTCAAATGCACACTGTTTATCAGCCGAATGCCTTATAGCTCAGCAGGTGTAACTGGCAGAGTTCGATTTCCTGAAATAAATTGAAGAGTGGAGAGGAGTGGATCTTTGTGCTTTTCTTGTTCTTACTGATGGACAATTGCTCAGATCAAGTATCCAGGCTGAAGACTCATTCCGTTAGTAGCAGGTTTGAACTTTCCTTCTTTAAGTGGTTCTTGTGTTTTAATTATTTCCTTGCTGGAAAGGAAAAAAATTCCGGAAAGGAAAAACCTGTTTTTTCTATGTATRTTCCGGAAGGAGTAACTTTATTCCTGAAAAGGCTCATGAGAAAATGAATTAAKTTTCTTTTTTCTTTTTTAGTTAATATTCTGCCCATTGTATCATGTGTCTRTGTTCTTAAGTGAGCTTTTCTTGTTCATTTTCAGAACAAAATCTGTATATAGGACTTACAATAGTAGGCATTATTTAAAAGCAWTTTTTGAAATGAGTTATTTTAGGGTAGTTCACATGGATTAATTCTTTCCTCTTCAACTCAAATTTTAAAATAGTTGAGAAAAATGAGCAATTGTTCAGGATATGTCCACACAACAGTATGACTGCTCAAGTTAACTTTCAAAAAGCTAACTTGAGCTCTGACAATTGAGGTAAATAGGTCTGTGCTGAAATCCTGCACTTGGGATTCTTTTGCTTTGGGTTGTGTTATACGAAGCCAACTAGGGGTCTCTATAAAACGGCTCCTGCAGTGTAGGCATATCATTAGCTTAACTTAATAACAGTCTTTTTGCTTTCTTCCAGTAGCAATAGTCTGGGCAAATTATTAGGTAGTGTTATTAGGCTGTCCGGAGAGGTTGTGGAGTCTCCTTCTTTGGAGATCTTTAAAACCYGCTTGGACGCAGCCCAGTGCCACGTGCTCTAGGTGACCCTGCGTGAGCAGGGGGGTTGGACTCGATGACCTCTGAGGTCCCTTCCAACCTTAAGGATTCTGTGRTTCTGTGTTCTTGATTGGGAGCTCATCCTACAGTCTGCTGACAGAATTTGGCTTGCCCATATTGTTAACTGGCCGTGCCACTCTTTCTGCAGGACCTTGCAGCTTCTACACGTGACCAAAAATGTTTCTCTTGCATAGATAAAATGCATATATCACCTAAAATATGATGAGTGGATCTCTAAAGCTAGCAGTGAATGTGCAGTTTCGATCATAGACAGACTGCTTACATGTCCCATTATTTGACCTGATCAGGAGCTTACACTGTGTTTTAGGGGATATATGCATACTGGTCATCTGACAGATACAGGGTGTTACAAGCTCAAATATGCACTTTCCATGCAATAAAAATCATTACAAGACCAGATGCAAACCTTGCATGTGATGTAGAGGCCTGTGGTTGGAGCCACGTGGTTTGGAAGTGACTCTGACAAGTGAGAGGTTCCTTCTCCATGGCCCTGGGTCACTCCCMTCCTCAGAGCGCTTCTCAACACTTGGAGAAGTGTTTGCTTTGCACTTGGTTCATTGCCTATCTGAAGGCACTGTGGGTCTGCTGTTAAAACCCCCCAGATCACTCTGGGCAGTGGAACAGGCTGCCCAGGGAGGTTGTGAAGTCTCCTTCTCTGGAGGTCTTCAAAACCTGCCTGGATGCCRCCCTGTGCCCCGTGCTGTAGGTGTGCCTGCTTGAGCAGGAAGGTTGCGCTAGRTGATCTCTAGAGGTCCCTTCCAACCTTGAAGACTCTGTGATTCTGTGATCTCAAAGTGGCTGGAGTCTGAGGTCTCAGTCTGTGCTTTTGGAGCTGTCAAGCTGTCAAGACAAGGTTCTCTCCAACAGTGTTGGCAAAGAAGCGTGTGGTGGGAGGAGCAGATTTAGAGTCACTGTCTTGTTCTGGTGGAGCTGGTGAGCAGGACTCCTTCTGTCTGTGATGATGCTTCGTCACTTGAAAGTACTTTTGCTTCACAGTGCTCTTACCCCGTCATGCCAAGCTGTTTTGGCTACATCTTTCCAGTACTACGAGTATCTTTCCACATTTCTTATCCTGTGACACTTCCCTGACATGAGGGATGTGGCAGCAGCTGCTTATCCAGCMCTGCATACAGTGCTGCTGCGTCCCGTGAATTTGATTTCAGACACAAGTGGAGATAACTGCTTGGCCTGTCACGTACAAAGACTTRAACATTTCCTGATTCCACTGAGATTTTCTTTATCTCC